TAAATTGACAAGATAGATGAGTTGTAAATAAGATGGATGAGCCGTATTATGTGTTGAATATGTTGTATGCTGATTAATGATGTTAATGCCGTATGATGAAAAGCTAAGCTGTGCCGAATGTTGTTTATGTTGATTTAAGTTGATAATTGATGAATATGCTGTGCTGACTAGATGATAATGCTGAAATTGCTGATAAATGTTGTTTTATGCTGAGTTGAGCTGTAATTGATGATTAGCTGTACTGTGCTGTGCTGTGAGCTGTGTTAGCTGTGCTGTAAGTTGTTTAGATGTGTTGTGCCGTGTTGTGAGCTGTGTTAGTTGTGTTGTAAGTTGTTTAGCTGTGTTGTGCCGTGCTGTGAGCTGTGCTGAGCTGGGCTGTCATTGATGATTTTAATGCTGATTTATAATATTGTTGTACTATAGAATGTTGAGCTGAGTTGTGAGTAGTAAGCTGTGTTGAATACTACTTAGCTGTGTTGTATGCTGATTTGCTGTGCTGTATATTGCTGAGCCGTATGCTGTTATATGCCGCTATGTCGGTGTTGTTATAGTCACTATTATGGTGCTGTTATGCCGCTATGTCGGTGCTGTTATAGCCACTATTGTGGTGCTGTTATGCTGCTATGTCGGTGCTGTTATAGCCACTATTGTGGTACTGTTATTGCCGCTATGTGGTGCTATTATTGCTGCTATGCAGTGTTGTGCTCCGTGCTGTTAGGAGCTGTTGTAGGCCGTAAGGCTGAGCTGTTGATCACTAAGACTAGAGGAGTTGTTTTCGAAATTTACCTCATCCCATTGTGTGGATGTAGAGGCTGTAGTGCTCTTCGAGCCCAATTTGTTGAAAACCCTCCCTGGAAAGCTGACCCTTGGAGTGGTAACTTGCTGTTCTCCCCTAGATTCTTAGTGGTCCCGTGTGTGGGCAAGGTCGAGGCACACGTGTACAAAGCGACCACGGTATAGGGGCCAAGTCGAGCTATACCGATTACAAGCGACCAATACTAACTTATATGTGTGACGACGTATTGTGTGTTTATTGCTGTTATTGCTGAATGATGTGAGATGTGTGCTGATATATATATATTAAGCTGATGTTGTTAAGCTGGTTGATGTGCTGATAATTGTATCTGTTTACCATTCATATATTTATATATGTATGTTGTTTCTTTTCACTAGCTTAATTACCCTTTGTTGTTTCCATGTGGTTTAGACTGCGATGATCATACTACGTATGGGAGCAGAACAGGGATAGGTTGGTGGCTAGTGGTGAGTCTGCAGATGGCAGGCGGAGCTGATCCTTGTTGATGTTTTGTTGTTTCAGCTGCTTGGTGTAGTAGCTTTGGATGTATTTTTGTACATTTTGAATCTAGTCAGACTTGGACCATGTATATATGTATATTCTAGACACTATATGTATACACTTGTTCCTTTCTGTCCAGTTTTCAGGTGTACTGTGTAGCGTGTAGTGACCAGTCGGGTCGTTACAAATATGAGTAGTGATGATTGAATTGTGAGATGTTGAGATGCATGTTGAACATAATGTTGTAAACGAGTTGTGAAGTTGAGTAGTTGTGTAAATATGATATGAGTTGAAAAGTAATGTGTTGTCTGAGTTGTTCTGCTGGAAAATATAATGAGTTGTTGTGTTGTTATTCCGAGTTGTTGAGCTGAGCTGTGTTGTTGAGTTGTGTGTTGATTGAGCAGTGATGATGAGTTGTTGATCACTAGGACTAGGGGAGATATTTTTGAAGTTGCTCATCTCATTGTGCGGATTGAGATAGTTGTGGTGCTCTGAGAGTCCAATTTGTTGAAAAACCCTCCTTAGGAAATTGTCCTTTGGAGTTGATGTTACATTGTTCTCCTCTAGGACTTAGTTGGTCCCGTGTCTGGGTAAGGTCGAGGCACACGTATACAAAGCAACCACGATATAAGGACAAAGTTGAGCTATACCGATTAGAAGCAGCCAATTCGAGTAAAGTCGGGAACTTACCTAACCGAGTATCGGAGGGTTGTAGTATTTAGAGGATAGTAAGTAGGCTAATCTCATAGGTAGCTTAATTGAACTAGCTAATGTCATGGTAGGCCTAAATCTAGCTGTCCTATCCTGACATAGTATTATATTTCCTTGTTTAAGTGGCAAAGTCCTAAATCTAGTAGGACCTAACCACTTAGATTGGTCACCTTGTATTGTAGAACATCTTCGAGTTGAAATACGTGACGAGTCTGATGATAAGGTGCTGTTATGTGATGATGTGTTGATGTGATGATAATGTGTGGTTATGTGATGATGTTTTGTAAGTTGTAGAAAATGTGAGTAGTATAAGAGTTGTTTGTTGTTTGCTTTGAATGTGATGATGATGAACCATAAGTTATTGTGTATATGTATTTTTTTTATCTGACCTCTGTATCTGCCTAAATTGATACCACACTGTTTCTTCAAAATAAATATTTTTAGGAGCATTCCTTTGTTTTATTGGTTCGAATGGGAAAATCAATATACTTATGGAAAGTTACGGGTGTAATTTTTATATTAATTATTTCCGTCCAAGAAACATTTCAATATGATTTTCATGGATAAAACAAAAAATATTTAAGCACAAAAAAGAAAAAAGAGAAGATATTCCATTTCTAGTTTACCTTTTTCTTCCACGATTTTTATTTCCTTTTTTATTTATATTTAATGACGAACCAGCTCACTTGGTGTAATTTGTGGTGCACAAAAAGTTTCATGTACGAAACACTAATAGGACTCTGCTTGGATTTATGCGATGATAATGACTAGGGTTTTGATAACTTGTGAACCCTCCATTTGTTTTTTCCCTCGTATACTGTCTTCCAGGAAACTGCGAGAAGTAGGAACAAATGAGGAACATTATATTGTACGTCAATGGGGGATCCCATGGCCATGGACCACTCAAGTTTGAATTTCAGAGTTTTCATATCTCCAAACTTTTTTCTTTCTGTCTTCATGATTGATGTCGTTGTAACATATCTCCATAGATTTTTCATTTCTGTATTTACTTATTTTAACTCAAACCCGATATTCAAAAGCAATCGAAAATGATATTTGAGACCTATATTTCATGTAATTTTGGCAAAGTTCAACTGAAAAATGACGTATGAATACGAGAAAGCAAAGTTAATATATGGTATTTTTTTTGTTTACGTATAATATTTATTTTATGATTTTGCTTCTCAATTTAATTTTACAATTTTAGTGCATTAATTTTGTAAAACCTAGATTTTTTTTCAAATCGTTAATCGTTAACTTGTTTGTAAAACCTAGAATTTTGTTCAAATCGTTAACTTGTTTGTAAAACCTAGAATTTTGTTTAAATCGTTAATCGTTAAACCCTACACCATATTACATAAATCTCCCACAATGACAATGTACTCAATCAAATTCATATTGGTGCCCATAAGATAATCGTGCTACAAATCTCGTCCCATAAAAAATCTTGCCACGCCATCAACAGTTTTCACAAGATAACCATAAAAGGTAGACTAAATTAAAAATAAAAATAAAAAAGTGACTCGCTAGAGTTTTGATATAAATCATAGGTATTATTTCACAAAAGAGTGACTTGCTTGAGTTGAGTACTCAAGTAGAATCAGTATGAAGGGACAAGATTCTACGTCCAAGTATTTAATGATGTATATACTAAAAAAAAATTCCAACTATATACTTCCTCTATTTTTTATTATAAAAAAGTTTGACTTTAAGTATATTAAAAAATTAATTATCTTTATTAAATTTATTAATTCTATAATATTTTTTAAAATTATTCTTATTATAAATATTAATAAAAATAGTACAACTAAAAGATCATGTAAGTACTTTATAGAGAATATTACTAAATGAAACAAAATTAGTTAAATATATTTATATTTAAGATTTAAAAAATGTATTTTTTTATAATAAAAAAACAGAAGGAGTAATTAATAAATAAAGATTACTGAAATTAAAAAAAAAAATCATATCATCCAACATGTGGAAGGGTTTCATCACCCTAATGATAGAGAAATATCGTATGAGATGTAGTTGTGGACCTAAATAACTAGGTATGCGAGTCCAAACTATGCAGAATAACTAGTTGTTTTCTCTATGAGGTTTTTGTTCTAAATAGAAGAAGATATAGAGAGAGGGAGGGGGAAGATATAGATTTATTAATTTCTGTCACGAGATGGAAACCCTCTTGGAGCAATTTTAACCATGCAACAATTCATTCTCATTCCACTTATCTAATTGGAACCGTATCTACACGTGACTGACACTATTTTTTCATAACTCGGCTCATACTTATTTTAAGAAGCTCAGGTAAAAAAAACTCGTGAAAGTTACTCGTTTCAGAATTTTACCAGAGATGAACAGCAGTATCTGCATTGATTCTAAAAGTCTAATAACAATTATAAAAAAATTAAACACAATTTCTTAAATATAATCGATACTGTTCTCTAATAAAATTAAAATTTTGCTTCCCTAATATATTAATGAGATATGAAATCGCACATCAGCGATTCATAAAATCAGACAAATGTTACGATAGACACAAACCTGCAACATCTGATGAACTATGCTTTTTCTATTTATAGTTACCACTCCCCCCTCTATATAAAAAATTGGCTATATTTTAAAGAAAATAATATCTAGTAATTAGCAGTAATAATGGGGACGTAGAATACTGATATGCTTACAGTACAGGTTCATGTACAGACAGACAACGGATAACGTGGTACCACCGTACCATACCATACCATACCATACACAGCCACATTCACCATTCGTTTTTCTCTACTCACCACGCCCTGTCTCGCACTCCCTTCACATCATTAAAGTTTGTTTTGCCACCATAAGCACCAAATTTAGTTTCAACCCCCACTATCATATATAACGTAGTTCCTTAACCATACCACAGTTACTATACGTGTCATATGATAGCGATTATTATTATATTTTCGTTTTATATACCCAATAACCAACATCACTACTAATTCGGTTTCTATTGAAAAGAAGAAAAAAAACAACTAAATTGTCTCCTTCACGAAAGGGTGATCCTCTTTAAATACCCCCACTCTTTAACACCCTCTACAAAAAATCATTCGCTCCTCCTTTCCTTTGTCCCAAACACACTTCACTTCCACTCATTCCCTTTAATTTGTGGCTCTTCAAGTTCCTTGTTAGATAAGATTTATACAAATCCCTTCACAAAATCTACAACATCATTTATCAAATCACCGTGCCAACCCAACCCCAGCTCAATTCCATTTCATTTTAAATTCTCATTCTCAAAAAAAACCAAACCAAAACAACGTTGTTTGAGTTAGTTACTTGTTTTAGTTCAACCATGAGAGAGGAGCAGAACGACACCGTTTTAGCAGCCACAAACGACGACGTCCCATCCGGCGTCGTTTTGTTCGGGAAATACGAGCTGCGGAGTTTACTCGGTGTAGGCGCGTTCGCCAAGGTTTACCACGCCACGCGCGTGGACACGCGCGAGAGCGTGGCGGTGAAGGCCGTGAAAAAAACAAAGGTCCTCAACGGCGGCTTCGCCGCCAACGTGGAGCGCGAGATCTCCATCATGCGCCGCCTCCACCACCGCAACATCATCAACCTCTTCGAAGTCCTCGCCACCAAGACCAAAATCTACTTCATAATGGAGTTCGCCGCCGGCGGCGAACTCTTCCACGAGGTCGCCGGAAAAGGACGATTCACGGAGGAAGGCGCCAGGTTCTACTTCCGGCAACTCATCTCCGCCGTGAAACACTGCCACGCCCGCGGCGTCTTCCACCGCGACCTGAAGCTCGATAACCTCCTAGTCGACGAAAACGGAAACTTAAAAGTCTCGGATTTCGGGTTAAGCGCGGTTTCGGGTCAGATCCGACCCGACGGTTTATTGCACACCGTTTGCGGGACCCCTACCCACGTGGCACCCGAGATTCTGGCGAAGCGAGGCTACGATGGCGCCAAGGTGGATCTGTGGTCATGCGGCGTCGTTTTGTTCACTCTCACCGCTGGTTATTTACCCTTCAATGATTACAATATTACCGTATTGTATAGAAAGATTTACCGCGGTCAATTCCGTTTCCCCAAGTGGATGTCCCTTGATCTGAGATTCCTCTTATCACGCCTTCTCGACACGAATCCCGAGACGCGGATCACCGTTGATGAGATCTATAATGACACGTGGTTCAACGCGGGTGAGTTCCGGCCCGACCGGGTTTTGCTCAAGGAGTGTAATAATAACAATAATAATAAATTTGGATGCGAAGACGGTCGAACCGGGTTGGAGTCGCTGAACGCGTTTGACTTGATTTCGTTTTCCACCGGGTTGGACATGTCGGGTTTGTTTGAGGATCCGATCCGATCGGACTCGGTGGAGCGGGTTGTGTCTGCGGCGGCGCCGGAGCGCGTCATGGAGAGGGTGGAGGCGGTGGCGGCGGAGGGGAGGGTGGTGGTGAGGAGGGAAGGGAAGGGTGGCGGAGCCAAGTTGGAAGGGCAGGATGGTAATTTGATTGGCGCTGTCGCGGTTTACCGGTTAACGGATGACCTGGTGGTGGTTGAAATGAAGAGGAGTGAGAAGGGAGGGGAATGTGGTGCGCAGTTTTGGAAAGAAAAATTGCGGCCTCTGCTTGTTGAATTCGCGGCTGAACGGGAAGCGCCGGTGTCCCGGTGACTTATTGAGAGTATTTTTTGGTATCTATGTTTTTTTGTTTTGGGTACCAATGGTAATCCATTGTTTATTATTACTCAAGGGTTTCGAACATGTTTTACGGAACTTAAATATTTGTACATAATTAAGAAATTAAAGATGTTAAATAAAACACTTACAAATACTTTAGGACACTTCTACGAGTTTTTTACACTATTGCAATGACTTAAACATCATAAATTATAAGGGAAAAACACACATGTATACATGTTTGTGTGTTTTTTTAACTCAATCAAATACAACAAATGATATAAGAATGAATGAAGATTTAAAACCTATGAACAGACAATTACTTGAACAAATATTATTCATCTCAAGAAAGTTAAGAATTAAGTTTGGTAATCCACTTAAATTCTTGATTACGAAAACAAGAATCTAAAGTGTGTTGATGACTCGGTCTACTCAATTTTAATAATTTTCTTTTCAGTGAAAATTAAATAACGAAAGTGGTTAAACTCAATTTTAGATCAAGGAGAACTATTTTTGGTCCAACTACCTTAAATGAATTTGTTTAAAGTTATATTAAACTTCTTATTAAATGCTTTTACAGTTAGAGCACTTAGTACTTGCACATAATTAGTTGGAATTAACTTGTATGAACAATTGATTCACGTCAACTAAATTTCTGAACCTTTATGCATCAAAAGACCTGCTTGATCAAAATGCTTCTCGTAGTAAAGAAGGTGAAGATTTTGGTCTAATGGAGATTAAAAATGTCTACCAAAATACTCTAACACGTAAGTTTATATGTGAATCAAGAGCAAGCAACTATATATGAAAAATAATCTATATATGTATCTAACTTATGAGCATGAATGTCATGTCTCTCAAATGGTTCCTTGACCTATTAGAAAATTGGACGTGCATGCAAAATCATACTAAGTTAAACTTTGTTAGTTTAAGCTTCATTGGCTTTGACCCAAAACAACAACAAAAAAGTTATAAAAAAAAATAAGTTTTAAATATAATTTTTGTTTCAGTAATTTGATTTATACTTTTTTTATTTTAAAAAATAGTTCATGTCATCAACTTCCGTTAAAACAAAATCATATTTGAAAAATGAAATAAATATTATATTTTTATATTTTATTTCATCATTGTCATGTATGGGTATATTGATTTTAAAAATTTTTTAGATAAAATTTCAAAATGTACTTCACTATTTTCACTTCATCATACATTTCACATGCACATTGTATCCTAGTTGTTGTTAGTGTTGGAGTTAGACCACTGACCCCCTTTCTCTGATGAGGTGTCCCTCTCGTCACTGTTGTGGCAATTGCGGTAGGTGGTGACAATCTTGATTCAATTAGCATAGTTCTTCTTGACTTTGAAGGAAGTAATATTGGTGGTGGTGTTAGTAGGGTGGTGGACACTATTATGACGCATGAGCTCCTATACAATGAAGGAGTAGCTGAGTGTGAGGTCGAACTTCTCCATGATAAGGCAGTGGTCAGTGGCAACCTCGTAGAGGAGTAGTGATCAATTCAGCGTTGTTGTTGAAATCATAGATTGTGAGAAACTGTTTCTCATCGGGAGATTGTGTTTGATTTGAGAGGTTTAAGGTTTGTAGTGTTGGATTTGGATCGAAGAGAGGAAGTATAATCAAGATGAGGGTTTGGGTGTAGTGAAAGACATTTTGAAATTTTGTTTAAAAGTAAATTAAAATCAATTTACATAGGTGATAATGGTGAAGTGAAATATAACAAATATAATGCATTATGTTTATCACATAATTTTTTTTAATCGTACTTAACGATAAAGATTATTTTTTAAACATTATAAAAGGTTAATGATGAAATAGAAAAAATAAATTTAAAGATACCAAAAATAAAAAATATATTGATAAACTACATGAGAAAAATTATATTTAAACCAAATAATAATAAGGACACTACGAGTACATATAAAAGAACAATTTATTATAATGAAAAATAAACTTGATTGAAGAGCAAAAGAATTATAACAACTAAATATTGAATTAAAATTATACTTCTATAAAAAAAAAAAAATAACTTTTAAAGGAATAAATATTTAAAGATAAATTGAAAACGACCCTTGTTGTTTTGTAAGGTGGGAAAAAGAATGGAGTGAAATAAAGGTTAATTAGATTAGGTTAGGCACTGGTGAGTGGTGCACGCTAAACAGGGAAATGTAAAACGAAGATTAGAGATTGAATGAGGGAGGCTTTGCATTCACATTTAAGACAAACAAACATTGATGCATTCTTTCTATCTTCAGACATCAATCATTCTTATTCTTATTGACAACAATGGTTGCCTGCTTTGGCTAAAGCAAAGGGACCCCTCGCACTATCACCATATCTATGGCCTTAATCACCTTTCATCAAACATCATGGGATTCAAATTAAATATTTGTACTTCAGTGGACCTCATAACTTCTATTTTATGAATTGGAAAAGTAAATTCATAGCAACAAGTTAACAGATTTTTTTAATTACCAGGACTATACCAATCTCGATTATTAACAATAGTTACACTAATGTTGGAATCTATGGTTTCGATTTTAACTCTAATTAATATCTCAACTCTAAATCTAATGATTCAAGAAATTAGCCGATCAAAGGAGTGTATATATTAAATTAATAATTTAAAAAATTACGTCATCGTATAAAAGTTTTGTATTATTTAATTATAACTTTTTTAAATATAAAAAATTATTAAAATATTTAATCAAAATAATAATAATAACAATAATAATAACAACATTTAAAGATACATAGATACATGTGATTTATACAAGAAAATATAGTCATACGTTATATTAAGAATACTCGTTCATAAATATAAGCTCTATAAATGGGTATAAACAATAGTCAATAATATTTTTTTTTAAATTCATAACAAATATGAAAATATAATGTGTACCTTTAAACATACACATCTCATTCTTAGGAGCGTAAGTCGATATGGATAAGTCAGAAATCTCAATTGATCTAATGAGTTTAGGTGTGTAGATAATTATTTGTTCATGACAATATTCTTTATTACTTTTTCTTTGTAATAGACTTTATATTTTTTGGTTGATAATATTGTAATAATACATATTTATTTTGTATTAACGTTAATTGTTTGAGTTGATATATAACAATATAACAAATCAATAAATTTATCTTAAATTTAGTTTGTATTATCATTTGTTTATGTGTTGATAACATTGCGTTTTTAACAAAATATCAAATAATTTATATTTATTATGAAATATCTAATTTTTACAAGAAATAAAAATAATTAATTAATTTTGACTCGATTGACTCAATCTAACTCATTCATATCAAATCATATCATGTTAAATTTTAATTAAATTAGATAATAAATTCGTCTAAACTTAATCCAACTCAACCTACTTACACATGTACTCACTTTATTATAACTTACTTTTATTTTGGATAAATAATAATAATAATAATAATAATAATAATAATAATAATAATAATAATAATAACAACTTACTTTTATCACATTTTTATTTTAAACTATTTTTTTCATATAAAATATTATATTTATCCTTTTCTCTCTCTAATTTTTTCATCCTTTATTTCTCTTTTTCTTCCACTAAAAAATGAGGTGGACATTTATCATATTTTAAATATATTATTTTCATGTTTACATTCTTAAGAACAATTTTTTTATTTATCAGACAACTTATTCAAATTTATTAGCATATTTTTTTGGTTACTTATAAAATTTTACTTCATATTCTGAATTTGTAAAATCGATATATTAAATTTAAACAGTCACAAAAATATCTTAAAAAACTCATTAATTTTAAAATGTATAATATATTAATGTTCTTTAATTATAATTTTATACAAGTTAAAATATATTTTTTTTATCATTATTGTTTCACTTTACTTTTTAGCCTCTACATTTATTTTTTTCAATCTTTTTTAGTTTTTATAATTTAAGGTGAAACTTTTTAATTTCTATATCAACAATATTTTAAATCTCTTAGTCTCTATCATTAATTTTCTTTGTAATGTTATCTATTTCATATTAACTTGATAGAAAATTTTTAATTTTATTTGGTTAAAGAAAATGATATCTCAACAATGGGTATTTAATAAGAATATAAACGAGATACAAAATATCGTAAAACCTAATTTAAAGTAACTCTAATAAAATAAATTTGATATTAAATATAAAATTAAAGTAATACATTTATCACATAAACAAAACTTAGATAACATTATAAAAATTAACAAAAAAATAAAAATAAAAAAAGTATAAAAAATATATATATATCTTAAATTATAAGATTGGAAATAAATATAAACATAAAAAATAAAAATGACTATTTTAAACCATAAGATATTAAAAATAAACAAAGTGAAATTATAAAAATTAAAAAAGTATTTTAACTTTTATAAAATGATTAAAAATAATATGTAATTGCTAATTTAAACATAAAAGGATGGCAATCTCTTCATGGTTGAAAACAAATCTTGTACGAAACAATGATTAGATTTAGATTAGACGTAAGGATTCTCCACATGCAATCCCAAAGGGAAACAATGATGTAGACGCCACTTCTTGTTTAAGCGTGAATCCAAAGATGTGACGACAAAGGAAACATTAAGATTGGCCAATTTCAACCATAATAATTATCAGCAGCCATATTAGCACGCCTTTGCTTTAAATTTAACTTTATTTTATTTTTTTTCAAAATAAATTATGATAAATTTTTTTTTATTTTTTTAAAAATTGTATTTATGTCTCTAGAATTCTTTTTAAATGATACATTTCACTTTTATTTTTTAAATGAATATTAACATCTTTTATTTTTTATTTGTTTATGTATGTGCCACAAACCATTTCTTATATAAGATAACATTATTGTGCATTATTAAGAGAATAAATTATTAATACAAATGTTAATAATTGAACAAGACTTGATTTTTTAAATTATATCTTAAATGTCATGCGTGTTGTGATTTAACAAATATATTAATTTTAAGGAACGGATTAAGGAATTAATGTTCTTAAAATTGAAGAACAATGAAATTTTCATAAAGAAGATAAAACATTGTACATAATTGAAGAATGGAGTGTAGGGTAATTGTTGGGTAACGGAATTGAACCCCAGTCCCTAAGATATCTGTATGTATATTGGAGAGGGATTAAACTCGATCCTTGTATGAATGTATCTTATATGAATGCAGTCATTCAAAGTATATGTGTATGAGATATCTATTTGCATTGTGATAATGATGTAACTATGAATCTACAAGTGCTTGTGATTTCCTGAGAGAACCCTAAGGATGTATCTAAATCCTTAAATAGGAACTAATTCAAAATAATTGTAAGTTATATGACTAAAACGTGGATTAATTAGATTATAGACACCCGTTTGATAGATTAAAACTGTAGAAATCCTAGAACCCATCTTTATGTTAGTTCACAATTTATGCGAAAAACATTGTTACTGATACTACGTCGAGCGATAACTTGAGCTTGTTGAGCATAGGAACCATGAATTGTTTGCAATCTCGACCACATTAGGCGTGGGCTTGGCTTCGTTGGGCGTAGAAGATCAAAATACCTACAACATTATTGACGTTAGGCATGAATGTAGTCATGTCGGGCATAAGAGCTCTAGTGGTCCTCTAAATGTACCCCACCATACGCGATAAAGATCACGTTGAGCATGCTTCCTTTTAGAGGCTCACAACCTCGCATGTGTCGGGCATAAGGGTGCCTCGTCAGGCATGGCCTTGTGCTGAACTTAATCTTTATGTATGTATGTATGTATGTATGTGCGAGTGGTTTGTATATATATGTGATTGTTATAAGTGAAAGTAATAAGTGATGAATAATAAGGTGATAAAATGATAAGTGATAATGCATGATGTGTTATAAATTATAAGTGATAAATGAGTTAGTGTAGTGAATGCATTGAGTCTTGAATGCCATGCATCGTGTGCATTTGTTTTGTGATGGGTACGATGCGGAATACACTATTAGAGAAGGCTCCCTTGTGTAAAAGTTTGGGAATTAGTCCTTAGGAATAGTCTGGTTTGAGAAGTTGTAGTCTCGTCTATTGTGTGCATAGAGCATATCTTATGCGACTCAGTTATCCCAATGAGACTCTAATAATATATCCTTCTAGTGAAAGTGTTGTGATGTCTTAATCCAACATACACTCCTAGACTACTCAACCTTCAGGCAGGAAAAAGTGTTTCTACTGGTGCCACATGCATATAGTTTAGGATAATTTAGTCTATGTATGATCATAACATTTTGCTTATGTTTAAGTCGTATTTGATTTATATCATGATGGGATGAGATATAAATTGAGTTGTGTGGTTGAAATTATTGTCTTAATATCTACATATGGGTTTATGAGAAATATGATGATTTGTTTTATAAATTGTTTATGTGAGGTTACCTGACGTTATTCTACATCGATAGTCAAAGTGAGATATGTTCTCACTCTCGTATCTTCCTTTCTAGATGATTTATATGTAATTGTAGGAGACTTCAGTTTTGGAGGAGTCTAGTTAATTAGAGGGATAACTTTATATTTGTGATACTGGAGATCTTGGATTATATTCATGCTTTATGTTTTAAGAATTATAGTTTACTTTTCTTAAAACATATCTTCTTTAGATTTGTAATGGCTAGACATTTGGTTTTAGTTTTATTTGAATTTCGACTGTAATATTCTTTATCTTTGTTTGAAATTATTTAAGTAAAATATTTTCTTTTTATAATCATTATATTTATTTAAGTACGCATGCAGTAGAGGTATCAAAATTTTAACTAATAATGTGTGTGTACAGACCTTAGGAGAGGTGAGTAATTTTTAAAAATTAGAAGAAATGTGTATGTCATTTAAGTAAATCTAAGAGAAAGTGAGTGTAATTTTTCTATTTTTTAAATAGTTGACAATTAGAATTAGCTTAACATTAATAGGTTCCTGAATTTGTGAATTTTTAATTAAATTTTAAAATTGATTAAATCAATGATTTTCTACAATTTTATAACTGAAAACTTAGAGTTAGTAAAATTGCTGCAAATCATTATTTTTGTGATTGTTTCAAATTATTAACTTATAATTTTTTAATTTTTTATTTTCAGGGATCTTATTTTATTTAAAATTATTTACTCAATTTTTTGTCCGACTTTTTTTTCTTATTTTTCTTTAAAGAAGAAATTAGACAAAACACAGTTATATATGTAATATAAGAAATTTGATAATGATGAATAAAAATATATACCAATTACTAGAAAAGTTAATTCAATTCAATTTTAATAATTTTTTAAAATTATAAAAGGAACTATTTAAAATTAAAAATTAAAAACTTTGGGTAAATTTATAAATTTAATTTATATGCATTCTCAATATATATTTTTTATATAAAAATATCCTATATAAATTTATTTTATAACAACATTATCATATATTCAGTAATATAATGTCACAGTAAAGTAAATTCTTATTAAACGTACGTGTGTGGAAAAAAATTATACTTATAATGTATATAAATTAATGGTTAAATTAATTAGTAAGATTTTAACACTTTAATAATTTTTTAATTAGGTCTCTAAATTAAAATAATTTATAATTGATTGATTGATCTTAATAAATTTGTAATTATTTTAATAATATAAAATTTGATCATTTGAAGTATTAAAAACATATTATTAGATTCTTTTTATATGACGGGTTGTAATATCATTTTGGATAAGTATTTTAATGCATATAATATTTAACAGATTTATTTTATTTTTTTTACCAACATATTCAATAGGTTTATACCTTGAATTATCGAAATTTTTTTTATTATAAAATCATCCAAAAAATTTCCAGTCATTTTCGCGTGTCAAATTAGTATTTTACAAATTAAAGTATCATTTAATTTATCCTTTCGAATTTCAAATGTTAATTAATGTCATTATTATGTTTTAAATGTAGCATAAATTCAATACATAATTAAATCATTTATTACTTTTATCATATTAAATTTAATACTCTGTGAATTTTCACATTACCGAGTCCTATAATTATCAACGATAGAAAAAATTAAAATAAAATATCAATTTTTACATTGCCTAAACACAAATGTCAGTGATTGATTTTTCAAAGTTTGAATTGTTTAACTACGAAATGTGTTTAATTATAATATATACATAATACATATAAAGAAAGATACACTGAATTTTACCTGAAAATTTTAATTGTTAATTAACACATATAATTAATTGATAAATTTTCTTTTACATTATATTTTTACTTATATGTTTCAAGCTCGCTCACACCAAACTTTCACTTTCCACTTCTTCCACCATCTTTTTCTTCTCCACTCCCTCAGGCAGTCACCACACTGGCAGGAAAGGATGCATAAAGAAATAATATACACACATCTATAATAAAATTATATAAAAAAACACAAAACTAAAAACGCCATAGAATTAAAAAAAATTAAAAGAATAACGATAATTAAAAATAAAAGATAAATATTATTTTTACTATAAACATCTAATTTAGTCTTTAGAAAATGTTAGAAGTGACTGAAAGTGATTACAAGGAATTCAAACTTCATACTAAAACAATTTCAACTAAATAAAGATTCATAGTTCAAATACTAACATAAAATAATTTCCTAATTATGTTCCAATGTCACATTCTATAAAAAAATTTCTAGTAAAAGTTTAAATCTCCCCTCCAACATTATCATAATCAACTATACATTTATACACTAAAATCAATTACAAAAGGAAAGTGAGAAACATCTTACTCTAGCTATATATTGATGTAATCGGATAGTTATACACATACAACAATAATTATACATATATAACAACAATAATTTATCTCAAAATTTGATACATTCATAATTCACAATCAATCAAGGTAACACCAATGATATGCATAAATCTCAAGACACAACAATGTTCATACAATATATATTAATATTCATCACATTCATAATTCACAAGTAATTAAGATGTTATGATCATGCAATGGATAAGACTCCTTCATCCATATGCATGTGACACTAGTCAAATCACATATCTCGACCTGAAGGCATGAGTAGCCTAGGATATCATGTCGGGTCACAACTCTCGTGACACTCTACACTAGGAGGAGATACACCAATGACGTGTTAGAACATCTATGTCACGCTAGTTTCACCATATGCAACCAAGCGAGCTAAATTAGAGCTCCCAAATTGAATTGTTCTCAAGGTCATGAATCCTTAAGCTTTTATATAAGGAGACCTTCCCTAACAGCGTATTCTACATCGTATCCATCACAAAACACATTATGCACATGATGCACGTTAATAGAAGACTCAATGCATGTTTATATCAACCATGTTCACAATTCTCAATTCACAATGATCATATCCTTGCTAGGCAATTCGCTCTGACTTTCACATTACTAAGTTAGACTTAGACTTAGTCACATGATTATCTACACGTTTGTTACATAGCACATATCTCATAATTTCAAGGATTCAGATAGGCAATACACATCCTCATATTATCAATTTTTTACATTACAATCTTAAGCACACATACTTATCATAATCAAATAGTTCACTTATCTAAAGGCTATTCACATACCTGAATCAATTACATGCAATTTATTGTAGGCATAAGATAGGGCTTGACGTGGGGTGCCCTACACTAGGCGCAATTAAGGTTGAGGGCACTTTGTGCTCTTTAGGAGAATCACACTTGGTGCAACCCTCCTTGTGCCTGACGAATTTCACAACAAAAGTATTCCTAGAGCTTCTACACCCGACATAACTATGCTCACTTCCAGTGTCAACACCACTACAAGCACTCTATGGCTCTCACGTCCAACGTGATCCATCTCTCACTCGACGTTATTGTCATAGAGAGCCCTTTCTCGCTTCGCCCTTAATGACCCCCACATGGCTCCTAGCATAACATCAGTAAGGGTTTTTTTTCTCTCATAATGTACAAATTATGAATAATACAACCTACAAATGTGGTTGTATGAAATTATGTGATATTAGGGGGTTTACAACATAGTTATTTCATTCTTCTTCATAGGTTTCCTATTCACATCAGTCTCTCTAATAATTTGCTTTGTATTAATCCTTGGAATTTTCTTGGAAACCCACAGGTAGTCATAGATTCCCAATTATAGAAAATCTCATAGATAAAAAATGCAATTATAATATAATATCACAATCAGAATATGAGGAAATTCAAAGATACCATAAATTTATGGTCACAATCAAAATTGGGTTTACCCCCTCATGCATCATACAGAAACACATGTAATTGGGAGCTAATTTCATTACCTCACACCTTGGAGCGGTGTTCTCACTCTTTTACCTTGATGAATGTCAAAGTTCATGTGTATCCTCGAGGTGTTCTTACAATTCTCCTTCCTTTTTAAATTACACGAGTGCATGTTAATGTATAAAGTGAGACAATTCTAACCTTACTCATATATTCATATAAGGAAATATTGTTGTATATTCTGAGATATTTCAAAAGGTTAATTAATTCATGAAATTATTTAGAATTTAAATTTAAATTTAAAATAATTATTATTAATTAAGAATTTTAAAACCTAATCAATATTTATTTTAATGAGATATAATAACCTAATCATTATTATTTTAATTAATTTTAATTATCAAATATTTTAAAATTAATTTTTTTAATTCCCATAATTAATTATAGTTATAATGGTCAGTATCCCTTTCTATAAATAGTGAAAGTTAGTAAGAGTTAGTTGTACTGAGTACTACTCTCTTCTCTAAGTTAAGAACTTGCTAGTTTTATATCCTTAGTTTAGTACTAGAAATATATTATTGTATCATAGAATACTTGCGTAAAAGTTTGCAGATAAATCATTTAGGATAGTGTATTACACGTCTCAAGTGTTCAAATTAGTTCATGTATTCAACATCCATGGACAACAAATACTAAATCATATCCCACACGTGCCTGTTGGTAAAAACATGTTATCTCACCGTTAATTATCTCTCTCTTAAAACTCAAATAATTATCTATAATAATTAATCTTGAAAATATCCTTTTTATCGATAACTCTCATTATCAAAAATAACCCCTAAAAACGTTGGGATGTTACAAGATGAATGACTATCCCCATAAATTAATATAAGACCTCCAATATGCTTTATTATCTTCATTTACATTCTTTCTAGAAAACTTTCCAGAAGGTCATTCATCCCTAAATTACTCATAATCAAACATGCTTAATTATGATGTTATTAAGTAATAAGCTACAAAAAAATATATACATCTTATTGATATAGGTAGTATTAATCTCTGAATTTCTCTCATTCTAGTGTTGAAACTATTACATTAAACATCAAGAAATATTAATGATATGCTTGGTTTATGAAGGAAATTCAAAAGAAATAAAAGAGAAATGGAAGAAAGTAAAATAAAAGAATAGGGATAGAAAATTAATGAGATAATCATTTAGGTTGTTTGGTAAGAGAGAAATTGAGAGAATATCAACTATCAATATCGAAAAATTTAAGCTTGATATTTATTATGTGGAGAGTTGAGAATTTTATCAAGTAATTTTAATATCTTAGCTTATTAGAAAGAAAAAAAATCATTATAAATGTGTTGATCTTGCAAAGATGATTTATGATATACTAAGTATTCTAATCACCACCGTAATATTGTAATTCACTTTTGGCATTGACTTTAAAATTTCAAACAAATATAGAAATTCTTCATGAGATGAAACAATTCCAAATCTCTTATGCATACATAGTTGGTTACATAGTTTATAAATTGGCTTATAAACTATGTAATTGGTTTATAATATATATAATTATTTTTCACAATAAAAATAATTACCAAAATAGTTTTCAACTTTAAATTTTAGGAAAAAATAAAAACAAAATCAATTAAAAAGACAAAAAAAAATGGTTCGACTTAAAAAGCCATAGTTTGTGTAGATCAAGTTTGAACATCAAATTAAAAGATTGAATTCAATTCAAACCTTTTTAACTGAGCTCGTTATTTTTTCATCATTTTTTTTATCGATTTTCGCAACCTCAATTCCTTGAGATGACAAGTTAATTATTAATATATTTTTTTAATGTGTTTTAAGTTAAGGTGAAGTGGCCTAAGATCATGAGTGGAAGTAGCAATACAACCAGAGTGTCTTTAATTAGGGTGATATTAGCTTATAATTTCCTATTTCAGCATCGATCTTATGCAAGTTCGGTTAACATTAATATAACTGAGCCTTTGTTTAAGTCCTCCAATAGTGCTGCTCTCTATTGCTGCAGAGTGTGCAAAGGGACCTAAACCTTTGGTTAAGAAACAATGATGGGTATGTGGACATTCACGTGTCACTGTGCATTAAACAATGAAATGAATTTGTAGGTGTGAAACGAAAGAAGAAGACCACAACTTACATTTGTATCCTGATTGGCCAACATGAATGAAATTGCAACCACGAGTGGAATGGAGGTAGGGATTTCTCTTGCCAACACCTGTAAAATTGCTCCAAACAAGATAGACTTGTATAGATGGATTTTGGGTTGTTGGGAACATTGAAAGGATTCGACAAGGCCCAACAAATAATTATATCCACTTATCCACTCTCATAAAGACTTTTGGGTCACATACCAATCATCCACCAATTTTTATTAAGACTTTTATTAAATACATCTTCTCAATTAATAATATATCTTTTCTTTTCTTTTCTTTAAATACTTTTCAATTTTATTAATTTTAAAATATATTTTTTAGAAGTATTATTTTACCTTTCTAGAATAGTAAAAATAAAATCTAGAAAAATACTTTGAGTAAAATTACTTCTAGAAAGTAGTTTTTAAAAAAGTACACCATAATAAATGTTATATATAATAAGATATAAAAAAAATGTTATTATAAATATAATACATGTAGGTATAAATCTATTTAATATATGCTTACATATAATTTTAGTATTGATTTTGAATGAGATTCGATAATATATATTATATCTATAGTGTAAGCATTTTTAGTAATAAATAATGTGTCATTATAACGAGGATGTCACTATAACACAATTCTTTTGTAGTAAAAAGTTATACTTCTGGAAAGTAATTTTTGGAAGAGTAAAAATGAAACATGCTTTGAAAAAAATAATTCATAGAAGATTAAAAATATACAAAAGTATTTTTCAAAAATATATTTTAACCCTTGCAAAAAGAACTTTTCATAAGTATATTTCAAGAACCACAAAACACAACTATGAAAATTAGTTTTCAATAATAATAAATAAATAAATATTGTCTCTAATTGATCATTCATCATAAAGTTAATGGATCATTCATTTCAAAATGGCACCTACAAAAAAGTTCACAACCTTGTATCTAGAACGTAATATAGAAGATGAGATGAAAAATTAAGATATAAAAAATGAGAAATTAAGACCACAAGCAATATGATTTATATCTTATTATGTAAAATAAAATATTTAATTGATTAGTTTAATCAAAATATTATTTAATATACTTGTTACAAACACCATTATTATACTAGCATTGATTGACAAAAGTGATAGTGACTTATATCTCTTAATTAAATTATCCAAGATTTGAATTTTGTTTTTGTATATGAAATAGTTTATGTTGGTACCAATAATTAGATAATAAATTTTTTCCTCTTGTCATATTTTTTTATCTCTTTGAGTATAAAGACTAAAATAAATTTTTTTAAAATTACAGAGACTAAAAATAACAATTTTAAATTTGAGAGATTAAAAACAAATTTATTTTAAATTTAAGAAATAAAAAACATATTTAAATCTTCTAATTTTAAGTATTAACTTAGCCAGGTAATTAAAGTCCAAACATAATTTTTTTCATCGAAAATATTCTTTGGTTCCTCAAGGTTTAATTTGACCTGAAATCGTGATAACAATATTACGCATCAGTTGTTATTACAAAGACATTTGACAACCAAATTGATCTAAATCAATTGCTTTTTATTATAATTATCGCAATTTGTGAATGCAAAAATCAATTTAAATACCTTTGTTAGATTCATATTTTTTAAACGATCAAATTAACATGGATTCTTAATATATTAAATCTCTTCTACTCATTCTCTCTCTTTGCTTAGCCTCTACCACAATAGTTTTGGGTGGAGATTTCTACACAGATTTTACCATTCTCCTTGGAGATAATCGAGCTTACATACAAGATGGAGGCAATATCATGTCGCTAGCACTGGACCAATTTTCTGGCTCTGGCATGGGATCTAAAAATGAGTATTTGTTTGCATGATTTGACATACAAATCAAGCTTGTACTAGGCAACTCTATTTGCACATATTGTACAACATATTCATGCATATTATTAATTCATATATAGATAAGCTTTCAAGGGCCATAACATGACGAGGTTGACTTAGAGTTTTTGGACAACTTAGTTTGATCCTATAATAGACTTCCACATCTATTCTATTGATTGGAATCCTCAATGCATAATGTAAGTAACAAAAAAAATAATGTATAAAAATAATAATTTAATTTATATATCCTACCAATAAAACTTAATTGTAGGTCAACGTTTAATAAACTTTGATCATTTTACCACATCGTTATATTCATTAATATGACATGGTTATAGACTCAATTCTTCAACAATGGATATACATTAATTTCTAAAAGTAATATAATAAACAAAATAAATATGGACAATTCTACCATTTTTTGTGTAAACCAAGAACCCCCGATTGATAATCATAAACTAATTTTTTTCGGTTGTAGAGAACATCAAAGTAGGTTTTACCTCTTCAAACAAAATTTTCTCCATATGCATGATGATTAAGGAATCAAACCATTTTCAGCATATGCTTGAGGAGTCTAATTATTTACAATTATATTGAACCTTGGTCTAGAAGCATACTTATTATTGATAGTTAACTTAACTATATTATGTGTTTTTTTGTGTTTATAGAATTTTGGTGGATAACATACCCATTAGGGTGATGCACAATAGGGAGAGCATTGGTGTTTCATTCCCCACAAGTCAACCAATGAGGTTCTACACAACTTTATGGAATGGAGACTCTTGGACAACAAGAGGTGGGTAAGATAAGATTGATTGGTCTAAAGCTCCATTCATAGCCAGTTTCAGAAATTTCAATGTCAATGCTTGCATTACGGGACCTGGGACATCATGCATTAATGGTTTCAATGGTGGAACAAACAAAGGTCTTGATGCTCAAACTAGGGAGTAACTAAAAGAGATTCATTCAAAATGGATTGTCTATGTTTATAGTCGTCATTTTAAACGTTATGCTCATGGTCTTCCATTTGAATGTCATAAGAAAAATCACAATTGACTTATGAATAGAGAATACATGATATTACACATCATCATGGACTTTTGAATTAATTTTAAACTAAAAAAAATCTTGTTATATCTTATAATAAATTAAAGCTTCTTATCCTAATCATTTGAATTTGAAGATGTCTTTGAAAATTATAGCACTTAGTATTTTATGGAAATATTTCATTTATTTATTAAATCTAAATATTTGTAACTTTTCTCAATCAATTCTATAGACATTGAAGAAGAAAAAAAACTAAATACATTTTTAATATGACTTTTGTAATTAATAACTTCATACATGTTACGTTTAAGTGCATATAAGAGGTAATATTTATTTAAAGTTTCTCTATTACAATAGAGTTAGAAGATGTAAATATGTTAACGTCAACTAAAAAAGTAGTAGAATAGCTTTGAATAATTTTAAATAAATAACAACGCCCGAATATAAGAGAGTTTTAAATTTTAAAAATTGAAACTATTGTTACTAAAAATAACTTTGTTCACATATTAGTGGTCAAATTGTGATTAGGCAGTATAGTCAAACCCAAATACATATAATCAAATATATATTTATAAAATTATATATATTTGAAAAGTTACATTCAAAATCAACATTTTTACGAACACAAACGATTTCTTATTTAGAAAATATTTAAGTCTAATTCTTTATGTAGGGTTACTCTCTTTTGGTATGAGATTTTGATGCCTTGGCTGTCGGCATGGCGTGTGCGGCGGAATGCACGAATTAGGGAGAGGAAGAGGTTTGAAGCTATTGAAATGCAGAAGTTGAGGAAGACAGCTACAAGGCGGTGCCGTAACTGCTTGAGTCCATATAGAGATCAGAACCCTGGTGGGGGTCGGTTTATGTGTTTTAATTGTGGTCATGTTTCTAAGAGACCGGTTTTAGACTTGCCTGTGCCACCCGGATTGGGGATTTCAAATTCCAGTATAGTGAAGGACTTGGTTGGAAAAGGTGGCAAGATATTAAATAGCAAGGTTTGGTCTGAAAATGGGTGGATGTGTGGTCAGGAATGGTTGGAGAATGGTAATTGGGTTGGTGGATCTATTCCAGGTAATCCTAGCAACTGGAGGACGAATGGAAATGGTGGTCTTTTTGGAGGAGATGAGCATTGTTTGACAGAGAGATCATACTGTGGTATTTTGTTTTTGGTTTGCAAGCTTTTGACATCTTTTTTCTTGAGCATTAGATGGCTCTGGAGAAAGACTTTTAGAATTAGTTCAAGGGAAGA